TTGTGAGTTCATATTTCGCAAGTTTGATCAAGGCTGCAGTCTCCCCCTCCTCAGTTTGATATGGAAAACAGACTACCAAGGACACGGGTAAATCTTTAAAGGGAACAGTGTACTCTATAACTTCATTCACATCACCCTGGCTACGTTGTTTCACTTTCTCAACAATAAAATGAAAACATGATTTAAGGAACTGCTATTTTCATTATAACAGACAGCAGAAATGTTGAGGCGTCGTGCTGCATAATGAGCATCATCTTCACTGTGTGGATATTAACAAAACGGAGCCTATAACAGTACTGCCTCCTTACAATTACAGTGAAAATACGAAACATACCCTCTCTTTTGCTGAATATCAGTTTTAATAATCAATAATGGCCATTATAAAAGTATAACACAATAAGTGTATACATTAAAGGAAATAAAGGCAAGCGATCAGTCAATATACAGAATGTAGGCTACGTGGTTACATTAATTATTAACTTATCTTTGCGCTCAGCCAAAACACGTTACCTAAATAAGTAATAGATTCCAATGACCAAAGTCAGGGAATATGTCGTTAGATGTAGACAACAAGATGAATGAAATATCACGTTTAATAAATATAGTGAGATTAGATCCAGCGGGAGTTGCTTATAAGCAGTCCGACTAGCAGAGCTCTCATCTGGGTAGATAGGCTGCATCGCTTGCCCGAAAGTGTGTGTGTGGTCACGTGATGTGCGTTTTCAGCGTTTTAGTGAGGACGGAGAGCTGTTCAGAAACGCTGGGTGAAACGCTAGTGTGGCTGCGGATCCTTTTCATTCTAAAACGTCGTTTTAAAACTAAAACGCACTAGAGTAAACGGGCCCAGAGACAGATTGATCTGTGCAGCAGTAGACGCAGTCAGTGTGAAAGGCAAACCCCTGCGCGCCGCTTCTGCTATCCATACGCGCTGCGCACTACTGCTCAAACACTGCTTGTGCTTGCAGTGTGAAACAGGCGTAACGGTACTCGGTTGCAGAAATTGAATAATTAAATGTAAATTAACAATGCATATAAATTGTTCAATCAAATCGATCTTTATTAAACTTCTTTACGCTCTATTAAAATGCTTTGAACTTTCTCAAAATGCTTTCACAGACCTTAAAAATACATGCAGATGATTAACTTTCACTCTATTATGCTTAAATTCTGCAGTCTCGAGAAATCTCATTGGTTTTGACTTGTGGTTTCTGGTCATCTTTAATTCTAACTCAACATTGCATATCTTCATGTGACTATTGCAGACACACACATTGCAATATCGATGCTCAAACGATATATTGTGCGCATATATATATATACTGTATATATATATATATATATATATATATATATATATACAGTATATATATATATATATATATATATATATATATATATATATATACACATACAGTATATATATATACACACACAGTATATATATATATATATATATATATATGTGTGTGTGTGTGTGTGTGTGTGTGTGTGTGTGTGTGTGTGTGTGTGTGTGTGTTTGTGTGTTAGTGTGTGTGTATGTATTTTTTTTAATAGCATTTTTGGCTTAAAATATAGTTCTTTTGGGGAAAATTCCCTTTAAAAGAGGAGTTTTACTATGAACTGTGATTTTATGAAAAAAAATCCATATGAAAAAACTCAAGGGTATATAAATAACTGGCTGAACATTTCTTTCCTGAATTAGTACTAAATTAAGCTTTTAACTATAAAGCATTAGCTGTAACTGAAGCCAATTGGCTGGACAGAAACTGACCACCTTGAAATCACTGATGAATAACAGAAAGGTATTTTTCCATTGCTGCACCACATATGGTGGAAAACACCCGGATCTGAACACACAATCCGGAACAGAATCAGCTGGGGGTGTTTTCACAAAGCAGACTTCTGTTCAGAGTTGCCCAAAAAGAAGTTGCTGTCTTAATGAAACCATGTGAAAGCCAACTTTGAACACACATTTCTAAATCAACACAGGATGGAGCAAGAAAAAAAAAAACTGATTGAGAGCACACCATGCTCAGATGTCCTCTCAAGAGGGAATACTTAAGATCTGGGTTACATAAACAATTGGAGTCTATGATCTTCAAGATATGTCAGGTTCCTTATGCTCTGAGCAAAACTAATTGCAGACGGTGAGCGTCAATTACAAGATCAAGCTCTTCCCAGACATCACATACTCACACAAACTCACGCACACAGTAACAGAATTGTTTACTCCTCTTGTCATTGAACAATATGGTGCAAATTCTCTGAGCGTTGATAGAAATGCCCTCATTTTTTGTGTCTCAAAAGCACAAATTCTAAAAGGGAGATGAAAATAAACAAACTGAAAAGGCCATTTGTCCTAATATGCGCACATAGTTTGTAAAGCACTGGCACATGAGAAACTAACACAATCACAGTAGGAATGACTATGCTTCTATCGGTCATCTCTTTCAAAAGCATTACTCTTTGGTTCTTTCGCAATAGCCTGTTCACCCTACAAGGTCACTATATCACATTTCCCAAGTTCAGCACAAGACTAATCCTATCTGATACTGTGACCACAGCCGAGAAATGCAAGAGAAATTTAATAATAAAGAAATTGAAGCAGTTATAAATACGAGCAACCATCAAATTTAAACAGTGTTCTCTTTGACTATTTATACTGTATGTGACCCTAGACCAAAAACCAGTCTTTGGTTGCATAGAAATAGCCAAAAATACGTTGTAAGGGTCAAGCTATATAGGCTGTTTCTCAATTCTAAAAATGCAGAGAACGGACTTGCGTTCTTGTGAAGAACAGTCTTGCCAGGTCACCTCAGAAGAAAGAATTCAAGAGACCGCGAGAACAGAGAACGCATTCTGTGAGAAATGAGATGCTGCAATCTTCCTCATGGTCACATGACCCTCACGTTTTTTTTTTTTTATACAGAAAATTATTTAAACATTCAATCAATTATACTAAGATTTATTGTTTTTTTCCCTTTTCAATATATATATATATATATATATATATATATATATATATATATATATATATATATATATATATATATATATAACACGCACAAAAGCTTTACAAATATACTTTGCACAATACAAATAGAACAGATTTCAATACGAATTTCAGCAAATAAACACCCTCAATGTGTTTATGCTTTTATTAAGATTTTCATGTTAATGTTAACTTTGATTTCTGGAACTTTGAGCGATTTTAGTGCTCCAGTCTGCATCAGTACATCCTCCATACCAAAAACACAACCGGGAACTTTCAACGCTCTGTTGTTGCAGTCTTGAGTTTTAGAACTTTGATGTTTTTTAACGAGAACACAAGGACAGAAAAACGCACATTGAGAGACAGCCATAGATTTTCCTTACGCTAAAAATCATTAAATTGTAATTCAAGATCATGTACCATGAATATATTGTCAATTTTAAACCATAAATAAATCAAAACTTAATTTGATGAGAAATATGCATTGCTGAGGACTTTTATTTACATTTTTTTTCTTAGTATTTATATATTTTTTGAAACCTCAGATTCCAGATATTTTCAAGTAGTAGTATCTTGACCAAATTTCGCCCAATCCTAACAAAGTATAAATATCATTTTTTCAAAAATATACACTCCCTTATGATGGGTTTGTGGCCCAGGATCACATATTGAGATCATTTGAGTTAAGTGACAACATGTTACCTTGCTGGACGTAGCCATCACAATATGGGTAACACTTTAGTCAAAGTTATAAACATAGTCAGATACAACATGTAGTTTGTGGTGTTTAAACTGTGCTCTCAGGGACCCAAAGTGTACAAAACATTACACAACCACCAGCAGCAGCCTGAACTATTGTAGCAAAGCAGAATGGATCCATGTTACTATGCTTACACCAAATAATGACTGCCCATCTTTGTTGCAGACAACCTTTTTCCAATCTTCTATTGTCTCATTTTGATGAACCTGAGTGAATTTACATTTTTACGTGCACACACATGTATATATGGTTTACAAGGAATATCCAGATGCATAATGCATTTTGTACTGTTAAAAACACTTATATGAAAAAACCAACCCTACCCCCAAAACCAACGTTTCAGTTGAGAGAATTGCACATTTCAAAAGTCAAAAGATCCAATTAAGTATGGTTGTTAAGCCCTATTATCCTGCACACATCTTAATAGTGTACACCTACAGTAGGTCAATCATTAAACAATTTAAAGTCCTCCTAAATCACAAAAACAAGTACCCACACAGAGAGTTCTTCTATAATACATGCATACACAAATTCAATGCAATATAATATGAATTAAACACCCTGCATAAAATCAATTAGATGCCAAAACCCAAAGATATCTCCTGCAGTGCTTAATAATATGTCATTAACTGTAGAGCTGTTATGTGCTGGTCTCCAATAGGGGCTCAGAGTGAATCATTCTCGCCCAGCGGTTGTGCAGTATTCAGAGGCTGAAGGCCTGCTGTGAGCGAGACAACAATCTGACTGTGATCTCATCAGCACACAGGTAAAAACATTGGTCTGAGATGAGGGGGTTATGGGAAGGCTACCTTAAATGTATTGTATCTATAGAATATATAGAAATATTAATCAATATTTATGTTTCCAGTCCAAAAAAAGATTTCCGTTTAAACACTCTTAGGTCTTTGCATTAAAAATTACTTTTAAAGTATATTCACATGGCATATTTTAAAATACAGTACACATTTTATGACGTACTACAAAAAACAAACAAAAAAACAGTAAGACAAAATGCCCACAATCTGATATATGATGTATATGTACACATAACAACAATTAAAAACTGCTCAGACACGTTGCAAAAAACAAACTGTATATAAAGCCAACCATGTCATACTTTGAGGCAATTTGTTCATGAAGCACAAACAGAAAATACAACACAGCCACAGTGATGGCTTCAGAATGAAACAAAGCAGGATGACAGTTCATTAGAAAAATATGATCATTAACCATTTCTTTTTTCCTTACCATTGTAATTCATAGCTGGCAGGACCACTGACATCTTGGGGCGACTGCCTTTGTTGTGGTTAGTGGCGGGAAGCAGGAGGTGATCCTGTAAGCAAAAGAGGAACTGCCATCAGCCACAAAATACATGCTTCAAGATTTTTTTTTTTACTTTTCCATGGACAAAAACTGAACTGGTCACTGTTTGAAAAGATTGGGACAACAAAGTTGTTGCTGAGAAAAATCTGATGTAGGACAACTGGTGTGAGAAACAATGCGACGAGGAAAGTATAGATATCCAGAGTGTGTCATTTACATTTAGTCATTTAGCAGATGTTTTTGTCCAAATTGACTTACAACTGAGGAAGCATTCAGCATTAGTGCTCAGAGAATTAAGTGCTAGAGTAAGGGAGAGTGTTTTTTTAAAGAGAGAAGAGTGTTTCTACAGTGGGTTTGTCAAGCCCACTCACATGTATAAAGCATGTCATAAATGTGCAATGTTCTTTTTAAGACATACGGAGTGATTGTGAGAAAGTGTCTTGTGCAAATGTGAAAAATTGGTATTGGTTAAAATGAAAGAAAGAGATGAAAGTGTGTTTTCTACAGATGGTTTGTCAAGCCCACTCACCTGTGAGTTGAGATTGTTGTGTGGTAAATATGCACATCTACAGTAAGTACATGTAGTAATATACACTGCATGCATAATTTAATATACACTAGCGTTGGGGTTGGTAAGATTGTTTAATTTTGAATAAAATCTCATATACTCACCAACACAGCATTTATTTGAAATTAAAAATAAGCAAAGTACTATTGTTTTCAATTACTGAATTGATTATATATATATATATATATATATATATATATATATATATATGACTATAAAAACTTTTTATTTATATTGATTATTATTCCTTCAATTCCTGCAGTGGCAAAACTGCCAGGATTAGTTTTTTTTTTTTTTTTTTTTTTTTTTTTTGCATTTAACAACAATTATAGCTTTTATTTACAGATTAATCAAATATGTAGTTTCAGTTTAAAGAGCCCCTATTATGGGTTTTTGAAAGTGAGCTTTCATCCAGTGTGTAACTGCACTGAGTGAATGAAAATATCCAGCTGAGGTTTAAAACTGAAAGTGCACCGTGTTTAAAACATTTTATTCTTTAACGAAATAGTCGACTCAGAGACGAATAAATGAATCGTGTTGGGTTCGGATCTTTTGCCTGAACATGTCGACATCGATACTGTACATCACCAAATATGTAGTGCCAGATCTGGTAAAACAATAACACCAGAGTATAGCCAAGCTAGTGCTGTTTTTGTTCCTGTCATTTTTCCAATTTTTGATACAATAATACAATGCGATAATAACCTACGATGCAAGACAGGATTTACCGGCCGTTTGCTATTAAAGGAAGGAGCAGTTCAACTTTTGCCACTGTGTGGATTAATACTGAATGTGTGTCATTGTTATTACTTGGGGTACAAGAGTGTAGGAATATGCTGGTGTTTAACTGCATTGCCTTATTGGATTCCTAGCATTGAGCTCTCAAATACTCTGTGCTACTTCATAACCGTGGTCTCGCACTGAACCCAATTGACCAATGACTGGGTCATCGAACCAATCAGCCAGATTAGGAGGAGTTTAGTAACAAATGAATGAATCATATGGGAGTCACTGGGATAATTAGGTAAAAAGAAATGCATATTGTAAGACAATGAAAGTGTTTTTTGACCTTGCATGCATATCCGACTATTGTTGGAGACCAACAAAACCAAAATATGACCTTTCATAATGCATAATAGGGGTTCTTTGATTGATTTTTTTTTTATTATTTTAAATGATGGAACTTGTTCAAAATGATCAGTGATTAAAGCAGATGTGCTGTTTAAAATTTTTCTAAGTCAGTGAAAACTTGTGGCATTTTATAGAATCCTAAATGAAAATTTTTGTATTATTATTTTGTAACAATTCTAAAACATCTTTACAGTCGCTTTTGATCTGTTCATTTTTGCTTAATTAAATAGAATGTGTTTAACCCCTACCATTCACACTAATATTTAAATAGAAGTGTATATACACTTCACAACATTTTCTTATGCAAGCTGTCAGTTTCTTGTAGTGCAATCAAACTGAAATTTGAAGACCTGGAGTGTCATATAACACCTCCATAATAAGGTCAAACATTTGTGTACATTAGTCCAACACAACCTGAACCAATGAGGGACATTCTCCTGTCAGGACACACACCTGTTGAAGACAGAAACCATACGGACAGGAAAGGTTGTAATAACACTCGTGTCTATGTGATGGATTGGACATGGGTCATAAATGTAGACTTCAGCAAATGTGTTTGTGTTCAACACCATCTGTTGTCGCTGTGCTAAAGATGTGCAGAAGAATTCACTAAATAGTCCACCCAAACACAACAAAATCCAGTCAATTCACCCTTGTTTTAACGTTATACTGTAGTTTCATCAATGGATTACAATTCTCAAAATCTATTCTCATTTATTGCATCTTACTTTTCATAGAGAAAAGTCTTGAGGGTGAATTACAAAAAAAAAAAAAAAAAAAAAAAGCTAATGTTTACTTTTGGGTGAACGTCACAAAAAAATGACGTGCTTGACAACACTAAACACATCATAAATTTTACACAGATGATTCCATTTGTGTTACACCTAATTTTGGATCAACTTTTCATAGCACACTGCATAACCCAAGACTGGATTATGACTAGTATTAGGGAAAGTACTGGCCATACACTCTTCTAAGGTACAGCAGAAGGTGACCTGGACTTCTCTGAAGCCCATGATGCAATTGACTGATCCAACAGCCTTCATGATGAGTGTCGATAAGAGGAAAGGTGGAAAAGAAGAGAGACGGAAAGAGTGAAAGGGCAAGTGACTGTGGAGAAAGGCATCTCATTAGATTGATATGAACTATTGACTGCGAACTCTGCATTGTGACCGGCTCAGAGGGAGCTGCAAGAGGAGGATATTATGATCGGCTTACACGAGGACCACAATGGAAATATCCCTAGCACAGTTTGATCAGAGACCTTGATCTCATGGAGTAACGAAATAAACACTGTCCAGTGGGGAATGCAAATGCAAGGAAAAACAAAATAAGTGAAGCAAAATAATTAAGCAACACGCTTTTATTTCTAAATGTTATTTTCTAAATGTTGATTAAAAGTATTACATCCCATTGACTCATGTCACGTTGTTTAAACATTTTTCCCCATCGCAGGCTCATTGAATATGGATGATTTAGCCTACATTCTAGCAAAAAGTGAAATACGTTGCTCCAGGTAAGTTTTGTTGCACGTTTGAGATGACAAACCTTCTAGAGGGCGCTCTAAAAAAATTTTTGTGAATCAGAAATATATTACAGTATGCTTCATTGTACATTTCAAAAACACACGTCTACAAGATGACGGGGCTTATCAGATCACCCAGCGAAATACTGACCTAAACTCTTTTTTTAAACCCAAACAATAGTATTTTCAAAAGCTAAGGTAGGAAAAAAGAGCACTGCAGAGTTTTATTTGGTCTTGTGCAAAAACAATACACCAAAATAATCTTTTATTTGTAGGTAGTATGGGCCAGTATGTATATAGCTGTTGTAAACAATTAACAAAAGTTGTGTCATGCCGTCCTGAAAGTACAATTTTGCACATAAAAAATTAGGCTGAAGCACATATTTCCAGTGAGTCCTTTCAAGTAAAAAAATTGGACTCATTGAGAAAACTAATTGTGAAACAAACAAAAACTTTAATCAAATGAGATGTAGGTAACAAAGCAAGGTAAAATCCTTATATTTGAAAGCACCTAACAAGATAGAGCAGGGAAAATAAGTATTGAACACGTCACCATTTTTTTCAGAAAACATATTTCTGAAGGTGCCGTTGACACTAAATTTTCCTTGATGTTCGTAACAACCGAAGAAATCCATTTATGCAAAGAAAACAAATCATATTCATTTACAAATGAAGGTATGAATACAATGAAATAGTGCCGGAAAAAGTATTGAACACATGAAAAAAGCTAGCTGTAGAAAGGCAGTAAAAACTCAGACAGCAGCTGAAATCTCTCAGTAGTTAGAAACCAACCCTCTGCCCTTCATCTTTGTAAATCAATATTAGTTGCTTCAGTCCAACATCTACATTATAAGGATGATGGAGATGAAACCAGGGTGAACATTTCAGCAAGACAATGATCCAAAACACAGCCAAGGAAACTCTCAAATGCTTTCAAAGAAGGAAGATCAAGCTGTAGAATGGCCCAGCCAATTACTTGACTTAAATCCAATATAAAATACAAATTAAAAATCAGATTTCATAGACAAGACCCACACAACCATCAAGATTTTAACACACTGTTGAAGTCTGTAAAAAACTCACACCTGAGCAATTCATGTGAATACAAACTCTATATGAGAGGCGTCTTTAAGCTGCAATCAAAAAAAAAACTTTTATATAAAGCATTAAATAAGTTTCAGTAGTTCAGCACTTTCTCTTTAACAAATTTTTCAGATTTTGTTTTTTGTTTTATTTTTATGTTTGTATTGTTTGGGTTTTCTGGTTCAATTCCATGTGAACAGCTTCTTTAGAAATATTATTCCCAGAAAAAAACATGAGGTGTTCAATATTTATTTTCCCGCTGTATGTAGTGACTTAGACAGCATAACGCAATTTGATAGATTATTATAAATGGTGGTCACCTTTTAAGGAGATTTCTGGAGGAGATGAGTCAATATTAGGAAAGTCTGACTTCCCAAAAGAGTGAACACACCTAATAAAAAAACCTACCAAAACAAAGAAAACAGGGCAGTTGCTCACCATGACCAAACCGGTCAAACATCTTCTGGCTCAAGTCAACTACGATGAGGGCTGGTTTTAGCGCTGAGAATAATGAACATTAAAATCAATGACATGTTTGATTTTAAAGTCTTTAAATCAAGAGTTTAAAAAGTATCTGGCAGAACAGTCTTTAGCGTCCACAAAAACATCTTTATTTTGTGATTATGAGTCATTGACAGGATGAGTCATTTCTTTGTTTTGGTTTCATAAAGGAGAAAAGTGGAGACCTGTTTGCCATTAAAAGAAAAACAAAAATCCCTAGGATGAATTGATGAGTGATAACCAAGTACTGTCGAATCCCCCGCAAACTGGTTAAAGATTTTGTTTCTCCAATTTTGTTCTTTTGCTTTGAGGCATTGGGATTTGTCTTAATGTGATTGCATCGTCTTTTGTAACAAAAAAGATTAAAGATTACTTCAAAAACTTTGGCCAACATCATTTACTTCTTTTTAGTAAATAATCAAAAGCAGGAACTGAGAGAATATGAAGTGAACTTTAAACATAGAAAGAAAGGAATAAACTGATGAACCATGACATGCAATTAGACTGGAAAAAAAAAAAAACAAGATTACTACAAATGCAGTTGGACTCTAAATAAATTACGCCCAGATGGAAATCATCTACGTTTCGTGTACAAAAAACTAATTTGAATTAGATTTTTTGCCTATTCTGAACATGAAAACTAGCAGAAAAATGTTTTTAACTTTTATATCATTTGCTCAAACTGTGTGAATTAAAATACCCCCAAAAAATAATGCACATGTATGAACAATCTATAGTTTAGTTGAGCGTCAAACTAAACAATAGATTCTGATGATTCTTCTGAATAATATTGGTAACTGTTCTGTGGTGCTTATCAGTAGACATGAGAAAATCCAGTGGGTGCCACTCAATCATAAAAGGCCACTGGGATACCAGACCGAGAGGGATGGTAGTTGTAAATTTCCTGCTAAATGTAGAAGTACAGGCACTTTTGGAGCACATTTTACAGTGAAATTTATAACACAGCTGCAATACATTGACAAACAAAACTTTGATAATATTGTTTTGGGTACAGCGTGTATGCAGATGGAACAATTTTACACTGAAACCAAATAATAACAATAACAAGCAGGGAAAAATCCAAAATATTGCTCAAATGTTCTAGGTCAGGATCTCAAGCTCATCAAAGCTGTACTTATTTGATCAAAAATACAGTAAAAGAGCAATATTGTGAAATATTATTAGAATTTAAAATACAAATTAAAATCTCTTCAACAAGAATTTTCTTTTATTATTATTTTATTTGGCAATTAATTGAAAAGTAAGCGAAATCGACATTCAGAAGCTATAAATCGATCAAATTTTTCCTGGACAAATTTTTCAATTACTTTCCCGACCGCATGTGGAGATCACAAGACCTCACTCTGTTAGGCTTAGGCTGATTTATACTTCCACAGCCACTTTGCAGCCACAACTGATCTCTGGTCAAGTAAGACGATGAACCCATTCTTAAGCCTTAGTTTACACTGACGATAGTTGTAAGCTGCACCAGAGATGCCTTGAGACTGCATATTTTCCATTACATTAAAGTTATTATTGACATTAAAACTTTTGTTTAATTAATAAAAAACTAAAATATTTTTTACAGGATATACAAGAGTTGTTTAATGTAGAAGAGATACTGCTTATTTTCTACTTTTAATCTGAACATTGAGAATAATTTATTTAGTTTCTAAAAGTGTAAGTTATTTAGGCAATGCGTGCTTTATTTCAGTTGTTCAACTTTGAAGTTCAATAAATAATCACAGCAGATAGTGTTTACACTTCAATTATTCTAAAATCAAGTAATGCACCCGACATTCAAAAATCTCTCACTTGTAATGTCAGAACATTTACTGTACAAAACTTGTCAGAGAACTATGAGGGCAAAAGAATAAAATAACTGTTCATTAATCGTTATAGAGTTAAAATGTTCAGTTAATCAAGATTTAGATTTTAGGCTAAATCGGCCAGCTCTAATTTTACATTTAATCATTATTATCGTTATCCAACTCATAACTAATCAATTTTTTATCACTATTTTACATATAAAATCTCTTTTGCAAGAATATTTTCAAGTTAAAATGTTTAGATAACAAATCTTTTATTTTTATTATTATTTTTAGCCATAATAGTAAGTAGTATTAATCTTAAAAGTAGTTTGTGAACACGACACATTCACAAATATGATGTTAATTATTAAGAAAATAATAAATGCATTTACAATAAAACAATATAAATCTCTGCTGAATTAATTTATTCATTTCTGTGACCTTACTGTTGTTTTAAAAGGTATCTTTCAGACTCTAGAGTATAAATAATAATTTACTTATCATTACCCTTGATAACCCGCCCTAATACGGTCATAGCTTAAACCAAATTTGTTCAAAAATCATGAGACATGTTCATTTGTAGCAAGGACATGTCTCAAGAACCACAGTGTGTTTCATTTCAACCAAAAATGATAAAGATCTCTTAAGATTGAACACGTGCTAGAAGATTCCCTAGCAGGTCATGTGCTCTAGCTAGATGAAACCGTCTCAAGTGTCCCTTTATGGTTCTGTGTGGCCTCTTAAAACCAATCAACCACATCCATGTGCGGCCAACAGAGCGATAGAAAGCAGACCGATGAACACAGATAGGCAGATAGATGGACGGACTTACCCGGCGGAAAGAGATCACGTAGAAAGTGTCCCCTCTTCGGTTGAGCTCATCAAAGAAGTCATTGTAGGTTCGGTGAGGAGCGTAATACACCTGCAGTTCACTGCCGGGATTCCTGCATAAAGGAAACACATGCGTTAAACACTCAAACACACAACTGATTTATCTTGTTAGCACAGTGTAGGAAATTATATAAAGAGTTCAGATGCAAAAACCTGAGTGCCATCTGAAATTTACATTTACAAATCCCATGCTCTGATTTTACTCAGGCTCCTATGTCTAGGTTCAGTACTTTAACTTTTATGGCAAAGAATAGATTGTCATCTCCTTTAACATGAAATAACAGAAAATTAACATAAGGGGCTAAAAAAAAATCATTGTAGAAGAAAATTACAGATGGAACTTTGCATATAAACTCTTTATATACATTGCTTTCATTTCTAGATGTTTCTGGTTTACTTTGCATATGTGTGTGTTTTGTAACAGAGAGCAAGCAAAAAGTGTAATTACAGTTCTCAAAAATTTCCTGTGTGAATGTGGCCTTTTCCCTTTTGTCAATTTGATGCAATGGAATGACAGCAATGCTGATTTTTGCCAAAATATAGCTATTAAAATATGATTACTCCTGAGGGAAAGTAAGCGAGTTACCCCAAAAACAACATAAAAAAATGGGCAAAAACGGTTTTAGATGCATCTTTAAATGTTTTACTTAATAATCAGGGATAGATTTTTACTGGCAGTCATTATCGTTTTAGGTAACTGGGTAAATAGAAAACATAGTGAATAATTTTATACGTATGGAATTCATTTAACCAAAAGAAGCAAATTTAAAGCAATTATTTTATGGTGGTCTACCCTCCTAAAACACCAGCATCTACTTGTGAGGTAATTTCTTCTCTTTTTTTATTTTTTTAAGATTTTACCCTTTAGACCCTTTTAGTAAATACCATTTTCACTGCTGAAAACCATGAGTGTATGACATGCAACAATAGCTTAAAAGGTAATTTGGCAAGTGGTTAGCAAAAGGTTGAACATCACACAGAAAAGTATTATTTGAAATATTATTGTGGACAATAAGCCCAGCAAGAAAGAAACCCAATTACGAGTGTCATACTTTGAAACTCCCCTCTAGTATGACTGCTGGACTTGATGACAGCTTTAAAAAAACATTCCACCTCAACACCATCCAAATGTTCTGCCAAATCTACCACCTACTTTTGGCTGCAAATGAATTGGGCTGCAAACTTCACTGTAATGTCTTGCAATAATAAAATTCTAATTGTCCTTGTATGATTTCTTAGGATGTACATTAGTGAATTTGGATGCAACAATTAATCGATTTCACTATTGACCATGCTTTAATTCATTAGGGTTAATTAGACGTAAAGGCTTCTCAAAACCGCGTTTCTGCATGGAACAAAACTGCTGCAACTAAAAGTTATGCAAACTGTGTTTTTATTTTTTTGTGCTGTATTATTTGGTTACTGAGCAGCAAGAAATAACACTTTAAAATATGAGGAGTTTTCGTGTGATTTTGTAAACTAGTAGTGTTTTGAAATGATTAAATGCATAATAATCGTTATAATCATAAAACCATGATTATTCCTCACACTATAATTGAGCAACCAAAATCTATATTCGTTACATCCCTATTAGTGAACATTATAACATTTTTATTAAGTTTATATTTCTTTTTTTTAGCTTACACGAATGCCTCATAAAAAAGTTGACGCAACAATAAAAAATGTATTCACTCCAAAATAAAAATTCTGTCAAACTCGCTTTGCCTAAATCTAATTATTTTCTCTGTTAAACACCACAAAAAGATATTTCGAAGAATGTTAGTAACTAGTTTTGACTTGCATAGTATTTTTTCCGTATAAAGGTCAATAGTAAGTGGCTAATAAAAATTGAGGCTAAGCAAATGGTTTTTGATGCACCATCCCTTTAAATATGATAATTGACAAACCACAAAAACATGACCAAAGCCAAAGCATACTTTAGTTTTAATGCATTTGACCATCATGATATCTCATCATATGTTGACTAGAAAGATCCATCACTGCCTACAGGCAGAAATGCTTCTCTTCAAATGTTTTGTGAAGTAAAAATGGTTTTGAACCCTTTAAAACAGTCACAGCCATCTTTTAATCCCTTGCACACAAAATCTGTGCTAAAATATTTACACCATGTAAAATGAAGGTAAAACATAGCTTCTCGAAGAAAACTTACTTTTCAGAGGAGTCTGTGTACTGGATCTGTGACATTATCTGTGGTACGTCAGCTTGTTTACTTGACGCTTTCTGTTGGACAGAGGAAAATAAAAATGTCACGTTATTTACATTATACAACAAGTGTTAGTGTATCGTGGGCTGGTAAAGTACATCTCCAGGGTTTCTGCAGGTTTCATCAAGTCAAATTTAAGACTTTAGGACCACTATGAATGACATTTCAGATTTAAAAAGGACTAAATGTTAAGGTTTTTTAAACATAATAAAAACCCATTAAAAACAAATTGTTATTATTGTTAGGAAGATTAAAGAAAGAATAAATAAACTTTTATTAAAGGTTTTATTGAGATGGACTGAATGTGTTTGCTCGATTGGGTAAATTTACAGGTAAATTAAAATTGGACAGAGGAAAATTAATACCAGTTTAAAATTTAAGACATACAACACAATATTTCAGCAAATGTAAGACTTTTTAGGACACTCTGTCTCTCAGATGGTTTACTTAAGTTCTGTGTGTCACAGAATCAGCCAAATGGCCATCTGTCAGCAAACCCATCCATCTCTAATCAGCCAACCTCTCGGCACTCTGCATGATGACAGTATTTACATAGTGGCTCAAACCTGGTGATGGAAAGCAAACATCGCGGCGTTTGATGGCACCAGACTACACCGTTTTGTTTATTATAATGGTGTGATTTTGTTTTGTTTTGTTTCGAGTTGTGGTTGTTGGTAAAGGTTGTTATTCCTCTGGTGTTGACACAGTTCCTGTTTAAGACCACCGAGAGGCTTTTTAGTGTGCTGGAAACACATGGAAGGCTTCCATATTGGGCAATGGGAACTTATCGGTGGAAAGTGGATGTGTGTATGTTTGTGTCTGTCAGGACATTTTCCCAACATTAAGCAGACCATTCAAACACAGAGCAGCCTTTCAAACAATCAACCTGCTACACACTGTACTACTCTAAATCAAAACAAGCCGCCCATCCAACTGCTCTCACTATTAGTTATCTGATAAAAAATAAATGTTAAGGAAGTAATGAAAACAAAGTATAGTCTGATTAATATTTTCCTACATGGTGTAGAGACAATGAAGTTTCACATTAAGCCAGAATGGGGTTCAAGGGAAAGTTTCTTTTGCGGTAATATTTGCCACAAGGCAACTGATGAAAGGTGCTAATTGTACATTGATGATCGGAGGGGAAATTTAGTGTTGTGAGGGACATTTAGTGTAGTCTGCCTTACAGCATCCTCTGATTAATGATTTAGATACTGTTTAGTTACTGTAGGTCAAGTTATACAAACTATGCATTCAATTTGACTTGTTTTTAGTCTGTATGTAGAAATAAAGACCTATATGACAATTTGTCTTTCGCACCCTGAACTGATGTAGAAATCCTTTAGAACGGCGTTGAATAGAAAATCTGTCATACAAGTGATTTAAAAAAGTGTTCATACACATTGCTCAGGAGCTCAGTGGCGAATACACATCCTCAAGTTAAGGTTGAACCCATAACCTCTTAACTTACTAGCCTACAACACGTAGCCTTGCATTCGTGTGAACGCTAGTCATGACTCTGAAACTGCAAAAATCAACAAACATGGTAAAAAATTTCAAGCAATGACAGGGTGTTGTTGCCATGGCATTAAGTGCTTTATGGCCACTGAACATGAGACAAACAGCAAATACGGTTAACCAGTTTAATTTCTCCCACAATTAAACTTAAAACTTTAACTGATGCACAGCAAATTAAAGGGTCACCAAACACTAAAAAACATTTTTTGTGCTGTTGACAGACATTCATATGTCCCACATTGCTAAAAACACTATTCGGATGCATATATTTCACTAAACAGTGAAAATTGGTAGGTTTTGCATTATTTTAGGGAAATTCGTTCTTCTGGTTTGAAAAGAAATTTTGAAGCTGTAACGGCAATGAGATCCTCGTGTAAATTCCAGCGGAGAGACTGGACGTCTGTACAACGTGAAGTCTTTGAGTTTTCATCATTAATTAATGAGAAAGAATTGGTTCGAACCAATCAGCGCACTCTTTTGTGAATGAGGTGCAACTTCATTAATAAGCATGATAGCTTTGAAGACCATCATGCGTTTTGTTTTTACCTGTTACAGTGTTCAGACGGCAGAGACGCTATGTTCTGTTGCCAACTGTAATTAAAACAAATAGGAGAAGAAGAATTGTTCGGAGACATAGGTCGTCAGTGTTGCATTTATAAATGCGCCGTAATGAAGGTTTTGTTTCCATTTTCCCGCATTGAGAGCACCGCTGCATGTGGACCCACATTTGACTGTGGATTACAGTGGTCTGCTAATATGCGACAAAAATATGTTTGTGAGGAACGTTTTTTAAGAGCTTATCACATGTGGAAAGGGTGAAATCTGGATTTGCCACTCTGCGGCTTCAGTTCTATGGATTTGGTAGGAGTGCCATCAATGTCTTTGTTTATTCAGATGGCACGGTAAGTTAATATCGTCGTTACATCCACAGACACTTTTTTCTTTTACTGGTATACCCTTTTGTTCAAAGCTTCAATTAAATTTTAAACATATTAATGTTTTTATTTAGCACTAAAAACATATCTAAAAGTTAAGATCTATCCGTTAAAAATAGTTTTTTTTAGCAGCACAGCAATTTATCACATCAATAATAACAAGAAGAAATGTTTCAGACATAAGTGTCCCTTTTTTAAAATTGAGATTTATATATCACGTGAAGGATGAATAAATAAGTTTTATATATATATTTTTAAATATCTTTATAAGACATGAGCTTTATTTTAATTTCTAATGATTTTAGAAAAATAATACTGTAATACTCGTAATACTGGCTTAGTGGTCACATATTAGAATGATATCTGAACAATCATGTGACAGATTGTTACTGACCCAAATTAACACAGCAGTTAAATTAACATTATTGTACAAATAGTGAAATATGATAACTTTTATAAAGAGCTTTTAAAGCCTGACCACAGCAGGCAGGGTTTATGCACACATTCAAGTCAAGTACAGCTACGGACAGTGGTTTTGAAGATAATCAGACTCACTGTGGATGAGACTGGAGGGGGAAAAAGAAGGAAATTAGTCTGAGAGAAAAAAAAAAAGATTGACTGAGCAAAGGACTGTTTACTTTCCCAAGACTACTGGATTATACTGAGAGTGGGTTAAAAAGAAGTGAAAGAGAGGAGCAGTGTGAAAGGAGAGAAAGAGCAAAGACTAAGGTCTCATCCCTAACATAAACATTCAGAAAGATCTATTTAAGGAAAATAAACAGAAATATGTCTTGGTGGTTGTCAGCAGCCAGTATCCGGGTTGAAGGTATGCAACCTAGTATGTGCACTTGACACACGAAGAAAGATGTCACACAAAAGGTCAAAGAGGACAGACAAGACTCTTCAGTCACTATATTCGACAATGTCAAGACCTTTAGATGAGTTTCTCTGCCCCTTTGTTCACACGTTCACTGTCAACAATGTCAAAAAGCAAGCAACTTCAACTTGAGAAAGACAACTGTGGCTCTAAGTAGGAGAAATGTAGTACCATGAAGGTTCTGCCTCTGTGCTGAGTGTTGCTCATGCGGCGAGTTTTGGTCCGCTCAACCTCATGCCGATGCACCCATCCTCTCAGCTCATGTGCTATCCTATAGTTATGCAGAGCAGAAAGAAATTTCAGATCTCAAAGGGTGTCAGGTAGGTAGCATGAAGAATTATATCATTCTAAACAGCATGGTTTTAGGATGAAAATATGTATGGTTAACAACCACGAATTTTTGTGGTCTGCGTTTTTGTCAAATGAAGAATGAAAAATTAGCCAAAAAAACGACACTATGCTTAAGTACTACAGAATACAAAGTAGGGCTACACAAATCTGGGTAAAATGAGAATCACTTTTTTTGCTTAAAATTAAGATTACAATTTTCTCACGATGTAAAATAAAGATTAATATGACTAGGTTATTATTTTTGCTATTCTCAAACATATGGTAAAACAACAATAATAACATTGGGCCTATTCGTAGTAAATTTTTTGTTGTAAAATGCTAAATTTAGTATAGACTTTGAATGCTGGACTTGAACAGTTTGTTAACTGTGATGACATCAGAATACAATTATTCATAATTCTAAAGATAAATTATACTGTCTGAGACGTATGCTTGCAATCTGTCATTGACAACATTATTAAACCATTTTTTCACTGAAACATTTGACACTTGTCCTTATCAGATTCACTCTTGCATTATTATCAACATTATTTAAGTTGGAATAGTTATAGTGACACTGTGTTTACTGTTAAAGAAAAAAAACATATAAAATGCTTGTTGCTTGTGCTTTTGGTTTCACTTTCACTGCCGAGTGTGGTTTGTCACTTTAAGGGCGTTATTTACAACCTTATTACCTGTTATTCACAGCCTATGCAGGTTCTGTTCACTAATGTAAACATTCTTTGTGCGTCCTCTCAATAGTAAACAAACAGTGCATCAGCTCACATGCTATTTCGCAGCCGTAATTAAATCTTTACATTACATTTTTGGATGAATTATACCTTATTAATACAGTGCAACCTCCTTTGTTTCTCTCCTCAACTCAAAAATATAATTGGCTGAATCGTAGAGATGCTGGATTAGGATGGAGATCATAATCTTTTTTTGATTAATCTTGCAGCCCTTATACAGAGTAGACTGAAAAAAAAAACTAAATAAAAGATGTGATTTACAATGATTTTACAACCTTGAGATGTTCTTAAATCATCATGGCTGTAAGGGGCTTTTTTTTAAATATAAATTTAACAAAACTGTTATGTTCATATTGTTATAACACAGTGAATGGTGGGCCTGTGTTTTTTTCACAGATATTCTCCAAAATTTAAGTCACTTTTTCCAAATCAACTAAAGTCAAGCAGTTCAAAGCAAGCAAAACATGCACTGCAATTGTGCACATTTGAATAGTCTCAAATGAACCTGACACATAAGTGTTGGTTCAGTAATATTTATGTTGTGAGATCACAGGTTTATTTTGAAACATCCACTAATACCATGGAATTTAACTGGAATTATTTGCTTTTTTAAAAGCCAGTTTAACAGATGTTAAAACACCAGTCAAAACGCCTACAATTATCCCTTACTATCATTAAAACAAAAGCTCGGAACTTTAAATACTAGACCAATTGTAATAAAAGTTCTTTCTAGGTTTAGATCAGATGGGCAAATCTGAGGCACTGCAGACCAGATGCTCTGCAGTCAAACTTTTTAATGAATCAGCTCGTCACAGAACTGCCAGATCCTACTAACTCTATTAAATGTCTAATAAAGCAGCAGTTGAATATAAAAGAGTATGGAGCAATATCAATGTGCAGGACTGACTTTATGCACTTGGTCCTGTTGACAGGTGGCTGGCAGGGGGGTGGAGTTCTGAAATACAGAGGATCCTTGACCACCATCAATGCCTTCTGCTCTGAAACCCCCTCCTCCAACCTATGAGAAAGACAAAAGTCATGTTAAAGCCAGGAAAGTTTAACAACACGGGTACCAAGAAATAGTTTGAGTCTTTATAAGGATAATTCAATTCCAAAACGACGTATGGAATTTTACAAGACTCTTGTTTTAATCATCTCCTGGTACTGGCTTAACATCTGAAAGAATACCATGTGCAAGTGCGCGAGCCAAGATGCTTCTTATCTTATCTAAGGAAAAGACAGCATCTCGTAAAACTATAAATGAACAGTGCCAACAACTAATGCCAAGTTCATTTTTAGCACAGATTGAGTGAACCTGCAAAATAAAGCCAAGACATCATCGACAAAAATACTAAACCATCTCCCCGCAAGAAGCTGATATAGGCATTTATAGCCCAAACAGGAAAACATGTGGCCCCTGAAATGACATGTCAAACACTTCTGGCTAAGGAAGAGTGACAGTGAAGCTCTGGGAAGCTGGATCGATGTCTCACAATCTTTGCTGACACAGAGAAGCTTATCTTGCAAAAGAAATTGAGAGTGGGAAGTCTGCACTGCTTTCTGTGGCTCAAGGAGGAAATAAATTAAGACAGCAGACTAAACTGTTCCTAATATATTCAACACTAAACAGTAAAAATGCTTTACATGAGACAAATCCTGGACTATTAGAAACACACTCTCAGGACAAATCCAAACTCAGACCTGGAGGCAAGTCGAGGATAAAATGTTTATGTTTAATGAAATTTCAAGAGTTTACATTTAGCCATTACCACGGTTAGGGAAGTTAGGGAAGTAGTGCATAAGAATACGGAGTTATTCAGTAAGTACTAACATACAGGATACTAGGTTTGACTCTAAATAAACCCATATCCTTAGATATTCAGTTATTAGAACAGTACACTGACTCATCTCCTGTGAAAAAAAGAGACCTGATGATGGTGACGATGATGATGATGATGATGATGAGTGCAAGTCGACTGTCTGTTCCCTCGCAGCACGCTCTCTCAAAGAGTGTGTGATTCAACCCAAGAAAATTATTACACAATATATTTTGTTAAAGCCAATTAAGCAAGGTAAAAAGTAACTTGCTTTACATTTTTCAAAAATCAACTCAAATAATACTACTTATTTTTAAAATTACGTAACGCTTGTTACTTATAACGTGTTACCTACAACACTGGCCATTACTTGATACTAATTGGAGGTTTGGCATGTTGTCCCGGGAGAGAACCCTGAGCTTGCAGATACTTGAGCCCAGGGCTTCAGCCTGGTCATATAGCATAGGGTCCGAATTCAGGTAGTTCTTGAAAGCTTCCCCCTGGGTTCTTCAGAAACGAAAATAATGGAAGTAAGACAAACTGGGCTATTTATTAAAGACTTTGATTTATCTGATTGGTTTATGAATACTTACCAATCATAGCATGTGATTCTCTCAAAATTAATTTTAAAAAACTTCACAAATGTACATTATGCTAACAAATGAAAGTCTACAAGATCTGTGGAAATATTCCATAAACTAGAGCTTTTGCAAAAGATGTTTAAAATTGCTGCAGGTGTCCTTGAACTCCCTGTAGAATATCAGCATCTAGATATAAATCTATATCCTATTTTACATAATTACATAATCTGAGTTGCTCCCCAGATACTTAAAATGAACCAGTTCAAACAACCGTTTCCTAGGATGTCTTTCAAAGAACCAATAGCAGAGTTTAAGCCGGAACAGAAAACTTTAGTGCACTATAGCAATGCTTGATTATAGAACAAACAGCTTAAATGGAAAGACCTGAAAGTAAAGGAGGAAAATTTAAAAGGACCCAAAACTGAGCCTTGTGGGACGCCACCTGTTTTGGCCCCCCAAAAAAACCCTCACAGTCTAAAGCTGTTGATCTTGTCTAAACCAGGCCCCGGGAGGCTTGAAACATGACCTCTGGGAGTAAAGTAACTTAAATTTGACTAGACCAGCTTGATGAATGTCTTTGAGAAAACACAGAGACAGGTTTTCAAAGTAATCATGACTTCAAATATCTGTCGTTTCATGTGGGGTATTTGAGGTCCTCTGTGTTTATGTTGTTAAAGCAATTTTTTAGACATGAGAAGCCAGTATTGCTTTTTCAAAACGCCACCCTGGGAAGATAAAACAACAAACTTAGCTAGCTGTCCGGTTTTGGTATGAAAGTTGCGTGTGGGGCAGACATGAGAACAGAGGCTTGTTCAGAGTCCCCCAGCACCTGTGCTGACAGGCTTTCTAAATGGACTCTGCAAACTTTGATAAGTTGAGAGGTCTCAGGTGTTTTCTGGCCCACACAGAACACTGAGCACGGCTAAGTGTTCATAAAACTGCAAAAAAGAGTTACCTGTCCACAGTGTTAGATGGGTCAGTCTGAGGCTTGTCCAAGTTTCTCTCTGACTCAGGAGAAAATCCCAGCAGGTGTCTGCCATTGAACACAGGGGTAGCAGGAAAGGCAGACCCTCTGTCTCCTCCAAGCAAACTGTGTGTGACACAAAAAAACAAGTCAGACCTTTATACAACACATTCCCTCTGGTTCCTACAGAACAATCGAATATGGGATGTAGTAAAGCTTTTCTGCAATCTCAAGACATGTTAAAATAATATAATATTGATGCACTTATTTACCTCATTGGACCCAAGTTGACAACCAAGAAGACCAGGACAACCATAAGACACACAGCCCTCCGTTTTGGAGCAGTTGCTTTCAGCACAGAGTTCTGAAGAATGATAATGCGTTAACATCTTATATCTGAGCAAATAGCACAGCCAATTTCAATTTCATGTCTTCATATTGTGAGCAAAGGTCAACTCTAAATTCTTCATTAAACAACAATCTTCCAAAAGAAAAGCACCAAATATTCATACATTTACTTATTTAAAGTGATAATTAAACAGAACTAGCAACATATTCTTTTGAGTTATTGTGTACAACCTATTGATACAGATTATCTGGGGGGAAAAAAGCAGGACTTCAGTTCCATCCATCAGATGATGACTGGATTGAGACATTTTTAAACATGTTTGGATGAAACTTTAGCAATGCAATCAATAAAATGCTTTTAGAAAACAAATGGTTTGAAAATATATGTTATTGACACCAACCTCACTCATTAGGCCTTCCACTTGTCTTTTTAATGTGCCATTTTCATTCTTCAGCTTCTCATTTTCTGTCAGCGCTAACTTCAGACGGGTCTCCAGTGTCATTAAATACTCCTTTTTTTTCTTCCGGGAGAGAGAAGCTGACTCTCTGTTCTTTATCATGCGCTGCTGTCTCCGAGACGCATTTGACTGCAAGTAAAAACAGAGAAATCAGGTCAAATCAAATACTGTTTGACAAACTAGTGTATAGATTGTATATACACTAGTATTTGCTTATAGGCTGTGATATACAGAGAAAGTAGATTGTAGTTAAACATGTCCCCCTGACACAAATGAGGTAATAGTTTTATAACAGATATAATGTACATGATAATTGCATGCTTGAGTCATACCAAATGCTGTTCACAGTGCAAGAAAATAGTGATTGCATCTAGGTTCTAAGTGCTTTAAGTGCTAACTGTATCTTTGATTAAGATAAATTAAGTGTGGCCAGATATCCATACGTGCTTGTGGCCCCTTAACACACATTCCACCTAAAGATATTAGCAGACAAGACCATCTGGCATACTGTCCCATATAGAGGAATGTGAAGAGGAAGACCGACCTAATGTCCTATTTTCCACTCAAAGCCATGGGAATTGGATGTGCTGATTACAACTGAAAAATGCAAAAAAATATATATATATATAGAAAAAACTAAATAAAATATAATTTGTAAATAACTCAAAATGATTTAGACAGAAGATGTTTAAATACATTATAAAACATTTATTTAATAAATGCTTTGCTATTCAAAAATCTACTCACTGAAAAATACTAGAAAATATATACAATGGTTTCCACAAAATATTTGAATTAAAAGTGTTTGACCATGAGTATAATCAAGATTTGAAAAATTCATCCGACACATACTGTATATCTTTGTTGGCTTGTGAAAGGCTTGTATAAATGATTGAAACTGCATTGTAAGCTGTAAGTGAAAACTTAAGGTAAAGTGGAAAGAAACCAAGAAAAGAAAGTTTTTTAAAGTATTCAGAATAGCTGCTTAATATGTCTTAACATACAGCTAACCGTGAGCAAAGCAGCAGCCATTGACTGCGTCATGTGTCCAACATTCCACATTTATTTTGAACGGTTGAATAAGTGCATCATCTGAGTAATTAAAGTGCACTTATTATTTTTAATTTTCAGGGTGAATACACTACTTACACTATTTTTGCTACAAAATGGCGTAGAATAGAGCATAAGTATGTGATTTGGGACGCACCTAATGGTAACAAACAACCAGTTTGCTAGCATGTCTTAACATGTTGCTAGCATGAATTAAAATGCTGCTAATATGTTTATAACATGGTAAATATTTCGCAAGCAGGTTTTGTAGCGTATATTAATGTCATAGGATATTTGCCAAGCTTCATAGTCACAGATTTCTAAAAAGTTGGTCTTATATGTACGATAGCTTCAATACGCTGTAAGATTTTAAGCTTAAAGGTTTCACATCCTCCTCAAAAATCACTTGTTTTTTTATGATCCAACCGGTCCGCAAATAAAGCCTTTTAAGGCATTCTAAAGAAAAACACAACAACAATCCCTCTATTGTTCCTGCACAAAAAGCTTTAAACTGTAATAAATTAATGTGTGCTCCACATAAACAATGCTCTGGAACTGGATTAAATTCTTACCCAATTAAACTCTTAATTAGGCTAACATAAGCTGGGTCTGCACATAATCAAACCGCAAACCACTCCTGACAAAACTAAGTGGTCAGTTGCTTGTAGCAGACATGTTTGAAAGCAGACCCCACCCTGAAGACAGAATGATGAAGGTGAACTAAAGAGCTTTACTGCTATAGACTAAAACGAACCCAATACCACTGGTGGGGTGGGGTGGACCGTTCTCACAGCCAGACCATATTAAGACTGTGGCCTAATAGTCCTAGTGATTAAACCACTTGGATCTCTATGTGCCTGTTTGTGCTCCCATCTCATGAGAAAGCTCTCCTAAAACCGGGAACTGGGCCACGGTAAGGGCCTGGGAATGAATAACATGTTTGGTTACAAGAGCACAGGGTGCCATCACCATGGTGATCAAATTGGTAGAAAGGGAGGGATTGGTAGACAGACACGACCTACCAAAATCCAGTTTTACTAAAGAAGAGGGCCAAAAAAAATTTTTTTCAGACATTTCAGTGACTGAGGGAATTCCGTTTAACCAAAACCTCAGTATAATTAATGCAAATGTGTATCACCCAACCCTTAGATTGATTGCAGACACTTGATGAATTTACACATATGACAGTGTGATGACGCCAGTCACGCCACCAAACATTAAAAAAAGCCAAGATGGTTAAAAAACATCAAACCTCCGACCACAGCTTCTAACCAACCAGTTCAGTCTAATCTGGCACGTTCTTGCTTGATTTATTTGTTAGCTCAAATTTATTACCCAGCATCACTACGCTGATCCAACAGTATTCAACCAACAGTGCTTTGTTTGGCATCACCTTCAGAGAACCATCACATTTGATTTTACCCTAAAGAATCTGCTTGAGAAAGATGTTCTCGAGAGAGTCATTCAATGATGCCAAGTGTCATGAGAAAAAGAAAAAGGCAATCTACTGTTTACATGCTTAGAATAATGCTTAAGAAAAATCTACCAAAAATACATTGGTCTGCTACTGAAAAAGTCAAATGTTTTGAACCTCACCAAGATCGAAGGCAACCAAGTGCTTAATTCTGATTCCGATTATAAAAAAAGTCTGCAGTTTGAACATGGCCATTCACACAGATCACATCTTTCCACTCCACTGCACTACTTCCCTTTTACTTTTCATGTAAACAGGTGTTAGACTGATGTGCAACACACATCAGCTTTTAAGCGACTAGAGATCTTGTGCATTTTCCCCATTCCACTGCCCACAACGCACATTTTCCAAAGTCAAATAGTTTTCAGTATGAATGACCCTTAAATCCGTATTTTTGGAGCAATAGCCTAGTTTCTAAATGTGCTTTACAATCAAAACTATAATTAAAAGGAACAACTCAACCAAGAATGAAAATGGTGTCATTTTTAATTCACCCTCATGTCATTACAGAACTTTTAAGAGAATCTTCTCACATACATTTTCCAAATAACGATATTTCACAGTAACCAACGTACTATTAAAGCATCATAAAAGTAGTCCAACTTTTTTATTTCTGGGCTTAACACATAATGTGGTTAACATTCTTATGACTGGGGTAATAATCGGATGTGCTGAAACAAAATTACATATTTGCTTAGATTAAACTTTCACCTTTCTCTTTTATCAAGGTTTAAAAAAAACATATTACTGCTGCTTTCAACACAGAAAAGCTTTTCATGGGGACAAATCTAATAATGATTAGCATTTCTGAAAGATTGTGCAATGCTGAAGACACAACTAATACATTGTACAGTAATAAACTGCACATTAAAATATAAAACAGTTGTTTTAATATATTATAATAATGCACAATGTTTTACTGCATTGCTATCGAATACAACCTTGAGAAGCACAAGACTATGTTTAATTACATAAAAAAAGCTTAATGACCTAAAACTGTTAAATGCTATCCTTATTATTTAATGACTGAATTCAATGTCATGAAAATAAAATAATGAAAAAAATGAGCTAGTCTGGCTTCTATCTCTAAACTTCAAAGCCCTTATTTTATATTTATGAGACACACAATATCCAAACAACAAATACCAGCAAATTAAGGAGACAGGCTGTTATATTGGATTATAATAGTGTAAAGTATGCCTTTTTGAACAATGAACAGCTTAAGAAGTCTTAGCAGGGGCAGGAAGATGAAATCTGCATGACACTGCACAGGCTGACTTGCCAAAGATCATTAATCTTAAACTGCTATAACAAAGCATTACATCCAATCTGCTACACAGTCATCACCATTCAGCTGTTTCAAACATCCCACGCCACAATAACTCACAAGCAGCCATACATACACACACACTCACTCAGACACCTGCCCCACCTGCCAGTTTTACTATTGCACTGCAATTCCTTCCAAACCCCCTAAACCCAAAAATCTCCTCTGAGGCCAAACCACAAGCAGCCATAGTTAAACCACAGCTGTGCTAACCTCGACAAATACACACACACACACACATACATTGACAGTTTCAATGAGCCTTCATATTTAACCACTGCACAATCATGACATTAGCAGAAAGAAAAACAGAGGACTCTGACCTCTTTTTACGCATCATCATCATTTTATATTGTGATTATATTATATTAGATATAAATGTATAAATTATTGAAAAAAAAAAAAAATTATATATATATATATATATATATATATATATATATATATATATATATATATATATATATATATATATCACACACACACACACACACACACACACACACACACACACACACACATATATATATATATATCTTCTTCTTCTTCTTTGGCCTTAGTCCTGTATGATTGCGGGGTCAGCTCTTTGGAACAAGTCCTCCATTTAGACTTGTAATAACGACTTTTTTTTTACACATTTCGGCCAGCCTGTCATCTGAGCCTGTCATATAGATATAGATAGGGGTGTGAACCTACACTGGTCTCACGGTTCGGTTACGATTATCATGCCAGATTCGGTTCAATTCGATTATCTCGGTGCATCACGATGCATTGACGATGCTTTCCATAACTAATTACATTTTTTCTTCACAACACAATTTTTTAAAATTAAAATCTATAATTATATTAATATTTATATATTATTTGTAATACAATATTGTCCTTTAATACAAGCCGTACGATACTGTAACTTCAATTTAACCTCCACAAAGAAAACACTCTTTTTGAATGTTTCAAACAAAACTCCAATACATGCACAGAAGACAGCATGAGCGTTTATAGGAAATAAACTAATGTAAATATTATCCCGCTCCCTTTTCAGCGCTGTCTTACACAGATTCGTCATTGTCTTCACCCGCTCAACAGAAAGGGCTGCGCTAGACTTTAAGAAGAATTAAAAGCGCTGTTCACCGATGAATCACGCAGGAAGAACAGCCGCGGTTACAATCTATGTGTGCATAATACGTGGAAATCAAAATTTACAATGATTATTTTGCTACCTCACGTTGTTATCCTTAAGGAGAATAATAAATCGGTGCAAATTGTGTTTGCTGTGGT